CTTGTCTTTTATATACAAATCTATTTGTTTATTGCATGAAAAGCTTTATTTTCAAAGACCACCTAACTTTGCTTAATTATATGTCGGTTTAGGCATAATGGTAGTATTTTAGCTCTCTCTCTCTCAAATTAAATATTGCCTCTAAAGATGACCCAATTAAATTCCGTGTCAAGAAGAAAAAAAAATCCCCTAATTTGAGTAAACATAAGAGGAATTTGATGAATTAAAAATAAAACTTTTCTACCCTGACGGGATACGCCCCATCAGGTGACCAGCGTACATCTTATTCCTAGTTTCATTGTGTTGCTGGGTTTCTTTCTCCATTGACTTGTACCATATTTATCCTTTATCGATAACCTAAAGAAAACTAGTTTAGTGATAATGTAATAGCACTTTAATTGAAGCGTTATTTTCTGTTTACGTATCTAAGAAAAAAATGAATATTCTTTGAAACTGAGTCAATGAAGAGGTTCAACAAATGTTTGATCTTTTGGCATGATTTCATGGCAATTCTCGTACACTTGAAAATAATTAATCATAAATATATTTCATTCCATGAGCAGAACATTTTCACAAAAACACATTAAATTTTAAAAGCTGTGAAACATTCGTTTTCAATTAAACCAATCTAGAAAATTTCTATGAAATATGCAGTATGCTTAATTGGAATTAGGATGAAACCATTTTGACAAAGTTTTGTAATTCAGCATCAATAAAAGCACTTGTACATGTACCAAATGCAAGTCTTTTTTTGGTTGCCCTTATCTTACAACAAACATACTTTCATAACATAAAATGATTGTGGAAAAGAATTTGTTACACTTAATCATAAAGAACCACAGTTTTATTTGCACTGGGAATGATCAGGGAAAGGTTGTTTCTGTCTTTATTACGCTTGTATTTTTGTTCATTATGTAACTAGATCTCCAGGAAAAGTTCTTAATTTAAAAGATATGCTGGTTACCTTTAAACTTACAAATGTAGAAGTTAACGTTAACAAGGAACTAGTCAAAATGATTTCTTTGAGGCCATATTTTCAAATACCCCTTCACATTTTCCCATCAACTTCACTAAATTGTTAATAAGAGACACTACTATACAATGTTAAGAAATGAATGCGTGCTTTATTAGTGCGAATCTCTGACCACTGACAAAATGTGAAATCTAATTAATGCGATTGCAAAACTTTTATGAAGGAAAATCACTTCTGAAATTATGAATGGGAGTTTTTATTATTGCAAACTTTATACTTTTTAGCATGAAAAAAAAATTCACCACCATTATTTCTGAATTTACTGTATATCCTCTATAGCATCTAAAAAGAGTAAAAATCTCAGACGTCCTAGTGCCAACCTTAGATTAGTTTCTTTATCATGGATACCTTCGATTAATAAAAGTAATGTTCGAAAACCCTAGTAGCTTATTCTGTAGCTCCGATAGCCGGGAAGATAACACTTAAACAATTACAGTATATCTCCGATAGAATGGTAAAAGAAAAGGTATTTTAAATGGTTTTCCCGTTCTTGCATGGAAGGATAAAACATAAACAGTTTCAGTATATCTTCGATAGCTGGGAGGATAACACATAAACAACTTCATTTTATCTCCGAGAGGATAACACAAAAAACTTCAGTATATCTCCGATAGTCGTGAGTATACATTGTATCTCCGACAGCCGAGATAAAACACACAACCAACTTAAGTTTATCCCCGGGATGACAACACATAAACAGCTTTAGTATATCTACGATAGCCGAGAGGATAACACATAAACAACTTCAGTATTTCTCCGATAGACGGGATGACAACACATAAACAGCTTTGGTATATCTCCGATAGCCGAGATGACAACACATAAACAGCTTTATTATAACTACGATAGCCGAGATGATAACATATAAACTATATAAAAATGAGGAGATGAGGTATGATTGCCACTGAGACAACTATCCACCAAAGTTCAAATGAAGTGGATGTAAGCAATCATAGGCAACCATACGGCCTTCAACAATGAAAAACCCATACCGTATGGTCGGCTATAAAAGGCCCCGATATGAAAAATATGAAACAATTCAATTGAGAAAACTAACGGCCTAATTAATAACAAAACAATTTACGAAAATTAAATATAACGGACATGAACCAACGACAACCACTGAACTACAGGCTCCTGACTTGGGACAGGCACATAAAGAATGTGGCGGGGTTAAACATGTTTGTGAGCGCTCAACCCTCCCCCTAACCTGGGACAGTGGTGTCACAGTACAACATAAGAACAAACTATAAAAATCAGTTGAAAAAGGCTTAACTTATCAGATGGATACAAATAGAAATACATCTAACAAAAACAAAGAGTGAACGTGGACGGGTACTTATACATCCACACAACAAAAAGACACTAAGTACAGAGCTGAGCGTACTCGCAGTTACTGACAGCTAGTTCAAAGCCAATAACAACCAATAAAATAAATCATGTATCCAAGACTAAATATCAATCAGTACACGTCCAAAATCCAGTGGATTTAGTGTAAAGACGTCATTAACAGTCAGAGAAAACATGACCTTGTGCAATGCCAAACTATAGGTATCGACAGATTTTAGTACCGTGAAAGTACAAATGTACATATGTGTAATATTTAGTATTTACTTCATTTTATCAACGATAGCCGGGAGGATGACACAAAAACAACTTCAGTATATCTCCGATAGTATGGAGGATAACACATAAACTACTTCATTTTTTACACTGATTACAAAAGTATGGTAATTTGTAGGTTAGTAAGAACTATCATATTTTTTTATACAAATATGATTTTTTTTCAATAATACAACCAACGATGCAGTAAAGTGGACTTTAAATAAACCTATATCTGCACCACATCTAAATATGGATTAGGAAAAAACATTTAAAAAATACCGTTGCCTTTTATACTTTTAGTTTTCTCAATAGCGAAATTATAAATACACGAGTCTTCATTTTTTTAGGCTTATAGTAGTTCACCATCTGGTTTTGTGACGACAGAAGGGGAAAGTGATAGTTCATACAAGTATATTGACGATTAATGTTTGGGAATCTTTTCGCTGTAGGTGTCCGTTATAAATGTGTATTTAATTCTCAATAGATGGCTTATATTCTCAAGCAACTTACTGAATGGGAATTTTAAATTCCGATTTGAATAGAATTTACGTTTTATACCCACCAACATGTGATATTTTAATTATCTTGTTCTTCCTTTACATTTAAATCTCCACAATGAATAAAAGTGAACGAGGAGGGACGGTTTTGATATGAACTGAAGCGCAAGCAGTCAGGATTATCATTTTGTAACAAGCTGAATGAGCGCATTAGTTTCGAGTCGAGTAACAATACTGAAATAAATTTCTTATTACAAAGTCTGTTTCGCAATGTAAATTTGACACCTTTATTTAACATCTGTGGAATGAAAGAAAATATAAATTGATATTGGAATTAATTTAAAATATTTCAAAGCAATAATTTGAGTATGAGAACCCAAAATTAAATTTGAAGAGGCGCATTCGACCTATGCTTTTCCATGTTCTTATTTCTTTCAAATACAAACGTACGATACGAATTTCGATATAATATATTTATAAAATTTACTAGTATATGAAGTGTTATTTTTTTTTTTATGAAAATGTGACATTTAAAGCAAGTCAATATCGAAACATGCACTGGCTACAAAGCTTAGTGTACCAGTTTATGGAGCCATATACATAAAACGCGTTTAAGCATTACACAGACTAAATTAAAGTCCAAGGTCATGTTTGCCGCTGGGATTTGCAACCTCATGAGGAATTATGGTAAAATAATTACTACACTCTAGATGTCTTTTTTATTATTTGTTGTGTGGTTGGTTAAAGCCTTGATGACGTTTACCCCACATCTCCCTTATTAAGCTGTATTTTGTGTATATTAAAGCAAAGTTCATGACCTCCATATAATAAACAAAGGATTTAACTACAAAGAGTTTAGGATCAATAGTGAATTTGGATATACAAGTTTTATGTTCGTGTATTAGTCCGGGGTTTAAGCGTTGTTGACATAGTACATACTATCATATTTAGACAGTGCTTGATAAAGTAATTGTTTTCCTTGTGAGAATTAGTGTTATTATGAATAAAAGTATCTTTTTATAGATCAAATTACGATACCAAATAATTTCACATGATCACTGAAATTCTTTGTGAATCATTAGCCGAACGCAAACTTTTAAAATCTAAAAAAACGCACCGAACGCACCTATTATTTACCTAATTATATTCATCCCGCAGATTTGATTATAAGTTTTGATGAACAAACTGAACCCCTTAGCAAAAAAAAATCTTGACATGGCGTTTTAACACCAGCATAAACAATATTCACTTTTAGTTATCCTACAGTAATGACGGGTTAGAGATTTTCCTTTAAGATTCGTCCTGAACTCGACACTAATGCACACTACTTCTATAACAGGTCTACTAGAATTAAAGGATACGGACAACATTCTTGGTTTTATTATATTTTCAGAAACGCCTCCCAACGGAGAGCATTATTTGATCATAACGCCATATTAAAAGAAGCGTTAAAAAGATTGGATGGACAGAACTAGTGCGTAAAGACGTTTAAATTTTTGACATCCCCTGCCGTTTAACATAATTTTTTTCAATCGTGCCAATCAACGAACGTTAAATTTCCTAACTATAATTATTGAGTGGGTTTATCGGCTTTCTTCTCGTGATTACTTCTCTTCCCATTGAAGAAGGATTATCCTCAAAAGCCGTTGATAAGGGCTCTTAATCATGCTCTACAACTGATTGAAGGATAAAGCAGGTGAAATTGATCACTTAAACAATCCACTTGTTCAGCAACGTGTTATATACAACAGATTATTAATATAACAATAGGTGTATTAAGTAAAAATTATATAAATATTTGGCACTGCGGTTTGAAAATTTATTCATGAATGTGTCAAGTTTAGACCGATTTGTCCAAGAGTCACTACGGCATTATATATTGACTTGGATTATGCTACAGTAACGTGTTCGACAGTGATTTATCTCGAAACAGTGATGATACCTTTTTAAACGAATTAGATAAGCTTTTAATCGCTTTACATGTGTCAGAGATCGGTATACTTAGATAATAATTTACGGTGCTGAAACAATCATCTGATAGAACGCTTTATTATGTCTTTAAGTAAATTATGACTGAATCTTCCAGACCGGAAACGGGGTGATAGTAGGGACAGGTAAAGCAAGCACATGTTTAGGTTTCCCACACGCAGTCGGCTGTACAGTATATAAGTGTTCATTTCATTATTTGTGTTATTCATGGCTTTTAGTCAAGTTAATAATTTTCTACGGCAAGAAAATTTTATGTGCACTATTGTTACATTAAAGGAATAGTTAAAAAATTGAATATCAAATTTCGTGCCAATTTTTATTTTAATTGCTGATAAATTGGTATAATTAGTGAAACAAGTTCGTGTAAGATATTCTAGCCTTGGTATACAAACATTACAGAAATATTTAGACTGCATGTACTGTGCATTATCATTCTTCAACGGTATTTTGTGTATATTAAATCTAAGTTCATAAGGACATATTATAAACAAAGGATTTAACTACAAAAGTTTAGGGATCAATAGTGAACTTGATAGATCAGAGATAGGAAAATCTATGTTTTAAGGTGAGTGATATGTTCTACAAAGTAATCAATAAGTTGAGATTCCAAATTAGTTTATTTCATGACACTTTTTTACGTTTGAATTATTTCTGATTGAATAAAATAAAAGTGATAATTTTTACATTTCATTCGTAAAAGTCAATAAACACCCCACTTAAAAATTGATCTGTTCGGAAAAGCACGACAGAAATGTTGTTAAAAATTTTAATTAGAAAGATTAAAGGTCATATCTAACATCAAACGTATACGATTTATATTGAAGTATTTGGTTTTTATTTATTTATACATTTTGACATAGTATATCAGAATCATTCTGACTGTGTTCTTTTCTATAAGTCACATGAATGAGTTTGCCATCCAAGCAATACCTAGCAATTATTATAACAAGAGTAACCTCTAAAGCACACTTGTATTTCGTATATGGGTTAAGAGAAACAAAAAAATATTAGCAGGCAATTATAAGGATTGAATCAAAAATAAAAATCTCAAAGAAAATGAAACTTAACCAGTAAAAAGTTAAGCAGTGAGGAACTTTCATGAAAGTTAAACATATATGAGAATCAAAGGAACTGTATTAAGATTACAACCTAGCGTACAAAACACAAGAAACCAATAGTCATAGACCGGTTTTCTGTGCCACGCAGGCTTGACGGGAGAAAAAATGTCCCGCATCTGCTAATCGAATACCTCTTAATTATTACAAACTAGCGTACAAAACACAAGACACCAATAGTCATAGACCGGTTTTCTATGACATGCAGGCTTCACGGAACAAAAACTGCCCCGCATCTTCTAATTGTTTTTGAAACCGCAAACATATATTTGCCTAGGGCAGTAAGAACTCTCTCAAAGCGGTAATTAGTATCAATTTTGTCACTGAATGATCAGGTCAATCCAGTTCCTCAACTGCTGTATATCTGAAACAGGGGTCAAGCCTTTTAAAAATTAATTTCTTGTACATGTATCTATGCAAAAACAATGCGTGAAATATTCCTCTTTAATGAGGAATGGCAGGTTAACCCTGACATTGTTTCACTCACGGGTTCAGAATCGAACCTTGATGAAACCTAGTGAAAGTTGAAGTAAGAAGTATTTTAAGGAGTCTTATGTAGAAGATGTTCCAAAAATTTCTTAATAATTTTACATTTATCAGAAAATTATCATGTTAGCTAGCGGCATATGGAGAAAGATTTGAAACACTTTTGAAAAATTTTACATGATTTTGTGAAATCTTATGTCGATGGACATCCAATTCCAAAATAATTCATTGTGTGTCTGAAAGACAATAGGTGTATTTCTGGTATATATATAGTATTTTCATTTTTGTAAAGAATATTCCTATTCGACATTTTTGACTTATTCATAAAAAATGCCAAAAATTTTTCAAAATTTCAGTTTTGGCCCATCTTCGGGCATTGCAAGCTATGTACAAATGCGCACGTGTCTTATTTGGTATAAGTCACTAAACTAACAAATAGTGAAATTAAAAAATCCTTTTTATTTTACGTATACTGACCATGATTTTATTTTTTAATTCGCAGATACTTATGATCTTTCCGTTCCAAACATGTTCCCCATAAACTGGAGTTTTAATGCGCTATCACAAATCCCCATTTTTACTTTTTGAATAACTTATGTAAAATAGTTAGGATTGGACAATGTTATAAATTTCTATTAAGTTTCAATTTTATGTCCAAAAGATGAACACTATAAGATTTATGAGAACACGAATATCTGAAACCTTTGGTATGTTTAATATAGAGTCAGCGATGTGCATTAGTGTGAAATCAGTTCTTTCATCTCTTACATTCAGATCACTACCGTAATACAGGTATGCCGATGTTGATATGAAAAGAAGGATTACAAGTGAAGCTAACGACCAGCTTGGCGGTATAGACGTTATATTTACATCTCTGTCTATCCCGGGTAACGTCACTGGTTGAAAGCTGTCACCCAAAACAAATAAAACTTAAAATCGTTGAAAGTAGTTATGGCTCGTGTGGGATTTAACAGATAACATGGATAAACAATAATTTTGTTTGGACCTACTTCACAAGATTTTTACTATTTATCATCGCATTAGATTTTTTACCTTCTTTAATACAATCAACATTGGCGTTTAGTCTAGTGAGCAATACTGGTCACAAATTGTTCGCATCGTTTGTGAATCAAAATACAATCAACCAATCAGATTACATGATTGGTTTTGTATGTCTGTTTTAGTGCTTTTTGTTTTTTCCTCATGTGATGATTGCTTCCGTCAATCATTACATTCGAACTTTTACTTAACAGCCAAATAATGAATGGATTTAGAAATATACACTTCTTGGAACAAAAAACATCTTTATTTTAACGATAAATTATTCTCCACGTGGCGTAATATACGATATGGATGAACATATTCCTATGAAGTGGAAACTCAATAAAAAGTGATTTAATTTTTATAAATGTGAATATATCAATGAAATATGACTTAAACAGTTGTGATTTTTTTTAGTGCTACCTAGGAACCGGAAGTAATATGCCAAGATGACAGAAACACAATGGAATGGGACTGTGTTATATCTGTTAGGAATAGTACAAGCAATATTTGTTGTTGTAAATGCAAACGTATGGTGGTACGTATTTTTCGTATATACAGTTTTTTAACTACTTACTCTTTTTTTGAATTTATTGAAAAAAATCACTTCAAACTAAATCACAGTGACTTCTCCCTAGTTATACAAGTGAGCGTTCGGTAAAATTCACATTCTACATTTTCATTTAACTTTGTGTTTTTTCGCCAGAAAGATAAGAGGTTACATGGCTCATTTCACTCTAATTAAAATATAAAAAAGTTATTTATAAGAATTAAATCAGATGCTTCCTTTATCAATTTATCTCATTTAAAAATGGAGGAATTATATAACTCTTGCACATCAAATGTTATAAAAGTCCTTTTTCGCCAATTCGAAAATTTAATAACTGTAGATTCATTTTGCACCAGTGAATTTTAATTTCAAACAAACAACAAGATTCTAAATAGTTATTTTTTTTATGTAGATGTTTATCTTATAAATCAATTTTGTTTTAATTTTGGATCTTCACTTAAAAATATGACAAATATATGAAATATTATAACCTGTCAACAGAAATTTAAATCCAATACACCTTCAGAAAATTGCATACAATAAACAAGTAATACGGCCATTATTAAGGGATTGAATTTTAATCTTAACAAAGGGTGACTTTTCTTGCATTTTATGTTGAAAATCTGGGTCATTGCATAAAGGATTTAGCACACCTGAAGAAAGAAAACAGATTAATTTAACATACCAAAGTTGAAAACAATTATGTTTTCTTAGCACTTTAAATATGACATGTCATGTAGAATTTTTATTGGATAGACATGCAGTTAGGAAAATATTTGTATTTGATTTTTGACATGTCCTTTATATACCCTTCAATGCAATAATCATTTAGTTTAAATAATATCAAAGTTAATCCCGTTTATTTTGGTAAAGAATCTTCATTCTTTAACATTAATTGTAGTCCTAACACACACGTTACATTTTCAGAAAATGTATTTGTGATAGTTAATTAAAGTAATAAAAATAAGAAATCAATGTTTGATGACCACATAGATATATTTTACAAATAAATATTATTTCGTCATTCATATTGCTGACATAAATTTATAAACACCACCTTGAAGCATACACATATAGTGGCTAACTTCTACGTCATTTGGTCTCTGGTAGAGAGTTGTTTCATTGGCAATCATACCACATCTTCTTATGTTTACTTGTTCCAGAATTTGATTGATTAACTGTTGTTTGCTTAACGCCCTCTTCTTGTCTATTTTCCCCAAAACGAAAAGAAGCAAGCTTCTTGATAATATGCTTATTCAATTACCAGCGACAACCGTTAGATATACCACACAATATATGCAGAAACAAAATTAGAATTCCAGAAACATAATTTTTCTTTCTAATTTTTTTTCCGGTCATTGACATTTTTGATTTCTTAATCAAATAGAATCAATAATTTACCATGAAGTTGCAAATTTGATTTTATTTAAGATCAAATTTACCAAACTTCTTCAAAGTAACAAAAGTCCACAAAAGGACAATATAGGGTAATATTAGCGAGGGATATGTTTACACTGTACACATTTAAATTTTCTAACACTTCACATTTTCTTTAAATAATAAGATCTACAGCGTAATATATAAAATCTGCAAACAACACCAATGTTCCCATCAATCACATACTATTCTCAAAGAGCTGTATTTATATATCTGCTCGATTACAAAAGTGGTTTCATTGCCGACATACATTTAGTAACTTAGTGATGAGAGAATTAATATATAAATCATACCCTTCAATATGTTCAAAGTGTTTCCCCAACGATTGGCATGGGCATGAGACGGAGAGAAATTGGGCATATAACCATTAATTTTCCTTGTTTTGAATAACGTATTCTACGTTTAATATAATTTATTCATGAATAAATATGACAGGTTTTATATTTGTATAACATTCCTAATATTAGAGTACATCGTATAAGGGGTTATTTCAGTAATGAATTCTCGTGTAAATTAACGTTTCTTCTTTGTGTTATTGGATATCTGTTTATCCGAATTAAAACAGACAGGACGAATATATAATCAAAGAGATACATTCTCATGGGAAATAAGACCACAACGATTTTTCCTGATTTTTCTGTGCTTGCATGACTAGCTTTTTCTCTCGTTCAGTCTTCGGGTTTCCACTGCAGTCATTATACTATTAAGTCTAAGTCATTTCTTATGCATGAGTAAGCTAATTTTAAAGTGCAAATACACTTAAAGAACTCAGCGATACCATATTAACACCAGAATGCAATAAACTTTCAGTAAAGATTGAACGACAACACTGAAATAAAAAAAAATAAGAGCAAAAGACGAAACAATTAAACTGAACTAAAAACATAACCATGGGTTCCCAATAACATCATTTTGGTATTTTAATTCGATCGTTGTATTTTAAGGTATACAATTAGGTCAACAATTGGCAATGTCAGCAAAATATTAGATGTAGTACGATAATGTCGAATCTAGATTAATTGACATCAAAAAGACATATTTCTTATTTTGTTAAAAGTTAGTGAAGAGTAATCAATCAATATACATTCATTTACCTTATTAATAGATGTATGGAATAAGTATGGTATTTCTAGTGCAAAATGGCCAAATGTGGTTTGTTGACAACCCTTATACCACACTGAAATGTATGTTTCCAAAAAAAAAATGCAACTTATTAGTAGATGAGATACACAAAACTGGCAAGGATTCATGCAAAAATAAGGGGGGGGGGACTCAATGAAATCCGTCGTTATATTTTTCTTTTTTTTTGACAAATGTTTTGACCTCCACTTTAAAAGAATTGTCCATTTCCATGTTGAAGGCCTTACTTTGACCTATAATGGTTTACTTTTACAAATTGTGACTTGGATGGAGAGTTGTCTCATTGGCACTCATACCACATCTTCTTATATCTATTTGAGTAATAACACTATCGTAGCATTGGCAATAAACTCTTACTTCAACAATCGATAAAATAATTATAAGCTACTTATCCTTTCTGTTACTGTGCAACACTATTGCAGGCACAAAAAAGTGACAAGAATTATTACATAGCCCGTCAAATGAGTAACATGCATGGGAAGGGTAAGAATATTGGTAACAAGTCACAAGGTTTAAATTTCCTCAGTTCAAACTTGCTTCCTCAAACAATAAGAAATGATAAATTTAATTTCTGAAACGACCTTAAGTTTTCAGATTTAAAATAAATAAAAGGAAGTTGCATAAACTACACAACAACTTAACACCCCCTTCTAAAAAAAATAATAAAAAAAATCGAAACCAAGAGATCAGCATAGACTGCAACAATAAACAGGTGTTTATACATTATGTCAAGCTCAAAATCGTCCCGAGTTAAACAATTGCGAATAAACATTTAACAAGACCATCACAGATCTCTGCCATCAACTCTAAATCCCCAACAGGACAAAAATTCAGATATAAAAGTTGCTTGTTATAAGAATATTTGTAAAAAAGATTCAACAGATGTAATCCTTCCAAATGATTAAGACATAGTCCTACAGGTTGTTTACCTCAGAAATAGCCTCTGTCTCTTGTTTTTTATCATAAATTATATGCTTAAAAATACCAAATTGTAATATAATATACTTTTGTATAACTAATAATTGTGAGTTAGAAGTCAAAGATCAGGTGAGCTTTAGCGAAACATTTGTCTATTCCTTTCCGTTACTTGTTAGTTGTTTTACCAGTATAAAAATAAGATGTGGTATGATTGCCAATGAGACAGCTGTCCACTAGAGTTCTAATGACGTGCATGTATGCATATACATATATAGGTCACTTTTATTTTCATATTTTAAGATCCAAAGAAAAGTTTTTATTTGTCAAAATAATTTTCATTTTTACGTCTAATGAACATTTCTGGTCAAAATAATTCTGAACATTTAACATCTTCCAGATAATAAAATATTCTTGTGATTAATTATTAGTGAATATTCTATATAAATTAAGTTCTTGTAATGTGTTTTTATAATTTTACTCATGTTGGGCTTGCATTTTTGAGTCTTCCTCTCTGTAACAATTTCCCTTATTGAATTACTTGGAACTACGCTCCCTTTCTGTTTACCAAGTCATAACTCCTGTTGGTCTTACCGTAAAGACTGGTCATTGCTGTTAGTATTAATTTGAATAATGACATGTATTATACAATAAGAAATCAATGCATATAAAATAGAGGGAAAAATGTATTGAATTACTTAATATTTGTTTAGTCTCAAGATTTGTCCCCAAACATATTTGTACATATATTTCAATTGCATACTCATTTTTGGTAACTGAAAGTTAAATTTTGAAGAGATAGCAAAACTTATTTAAACATTAACGTTCAAAATAGGAAGGAAGATAGACAGGATGCTGCAAGATCAGCAAAGGATGAAGATAAAGTAGTTCCTTCTTAATTTATTTCTACTTAAAAACAATTCCTCGAACAATTGAAAGGTTTATGTTTATCGAGACGGTTAATCATTGCCCCTTGGTATCTTCTTATTTTGTGTCCCCTTTTATTCATCTTATAATTAGATATAGGAAGATGTGGTATGAGTGCCAATGAGACAACTCTCCATCCAAGTTACAATTTATAAAAGTAAACCATTATAGGTCAAGGTACGGCCTTCAACACGGAGCATTGGCTCACACTGAACAGCTAGCTATAAAGGGCCCCAAAAAAGTACTAGTGTAAAACCATTCAAACGGAAAAACCAACGTTCTAATCTATATAAAAACGAGAAACGAGAAACACGTATGAACTACATAAACAGACGACAACTACTGTAATCAGATTCCTGACTTAGGACAAGTGCAAACATTTGCAGCGGGATTAAACGTTTTAATGGTACCAAACCTTCTTCCTTTTCTGAAACAATAGTATAACATCACAACATAGAAAAACACACTATAAAATATCAATTGGAAGGCTTAACTTAATCAAAAAACGTAAATTAACACACAATGAACGAATAAATTTGACCTGTGACACCTGAATGCAAATACACAGTAAAACATGCATTTATCTTGGACAGGATTGCATAATGATATTAACTTACGTAAAATGTGAATTGGAAATTACAACAGTGTAGGCATGTTTTCAAAGTTGATACAGGTTGATGTCTAAATTCAAAACACAACGGAACTGTTAATAAATCAGACAATAAAACCTCTATGCTCGAAATCAGTTTAAAGAAGTTAATTCAGTACAGTCTTCATGGGTTGTTATATTAAACAAGATCATATAAGCTTTCAAAAAACATGTAAAGACAACAAGACAATAAATTGAAGATAACGCTATGAATTTAGTTAAGTTTCATAAGTATCACTTAACTTAAAACAAAACTTAAGTTTCAATCTATCATGAAATCGGGATTGAAGTAACATTAGCGGAAAGATCAGAAAGCCTTCAAGTGAAATGTACATCGCATATCTTAGTTTCTGTACAACTTTAAATCTTTTCATGCATTTGATTTTCTGAAGTTTGGATAAGGATGTAGTGATTATCTTTAGGGCGGGAAAATAAAAAGGTTAAATCGTCGACAAACAAAAAGTATCTTTCCACAAATAGAAATACCAACAAATATTCACAAATGATAAATGTACCACACCGTTTGCTTTATTTTCTTTAAAAGATGTAGAATTGATGTGTCGTATGACATGAAATTGATGATCTGTCTTCGTATCTCTTTGGAGTTTAGTCTGATAGTACCTTTGAACGGTAAATGTGCCGATTTATGTAAATATTTTCGAAAAAACGTTTTAAATAAAAGCGTACTCCTTATGATAAGGTATTATACATAAACTCAAATTTCAGCAATAGGCCCTTTCACGGTTATTGTAGCCATATTGAAAAGGGGGTCATATTTTCATAATGGCGATGAAAATGCTTTGAAAAACACAGGAAAACATCATTGAAACAGAACAGTTGCATGGAAACATACATAGTTTTTCCAGTACTTTCTTACTATTTCCACCTCCATCAAAAAAATCTGTCCCCTATGCAATATGGTTGCAACGACCGTGAAGTGGTATACTTTCAAAGGCTAAGTAAGAGTATAGTAAACAAGCTCCCCAATCTTTTATGAAACTGTTTTTTTTCAAATATATTGAACTTACATTGTATGCATTTTTCTATATCTATGAATGTTTTCTACTGCAGGAGTCTTGGCACAAATCCACGAATGTTAATGGTTGGAGTACAACCATTTTGTACAGAACTTAGAGAGTTATCACCCGGACAAATCCGTGCTTGTCAAAACCACCATGATCATATGCCCAGTGTTGGTAGAGGGGCACGATTAGGTATAACAGAATGCCAAACACAATTTAAAAATCGTCGATGGAACTGTACAACCATAGAAGACGACAGAACCGTCTTTGGTCCTGTTATACAAATAGGTACGTTCATATTGTATACACTGAATTGTATATTTTCTCTACATTTGTACAGCCCTGGATACCGTAGTAATCAACATATGTAACTGACATGAACGGGGTAATAGACTATTTTCATATCAACGAAATTTTATATTACCGAACAAGTTAGAGCAAGTAAACGTAGTAAAATCAAGCTTAAAATCGGCCAATTTAGTTTTAATCAATCGGAAAAAGTTAGCTGTTTTGTGTTTTCTATGCACGACAAATCATCGGAAAACAGATAATTTTTTCCCCAAAATGAATCGATTGAAAGCTTGAGTTTACTTCTTTTAGCTGCTCTTATTTGACTGAGTTCATGTACCAGAATGTCCTACAACAGAGAAATTAACCTGTCGAAAAAATATAACAATCCGGAGTCAAAAGTCGGAAATATGAAAATAGTCTATTGTTAACAAACAGGAACACGTCAATGTAAACAAAAACGAATTGTTGACACATATCACAAGCAACACCCCCCACCCCTTAATAAAAATGCAGGAAGGATAAATGGTACTAGGAACAAAACAAACTTGCATGCACAGAGGGTTGAAAAAAAACCCGGAAACATAACAAATTAAAATGGCCGACTCAATACAGATAGAACAAAAAAACAACAAAAAATAGAGTATACCATGCAATGATTGAAAAAATAAGGAGATGCCAAATCTCAAGTCGTAGGATAGACAACATCAAGACAAAAGAAAAGAGACGAAAAGAAGGACAAAAGTCCTCGACGTATTATCTAAATACTGATAACTGACGATCAAAGTACAAACAATACTGATAACTAACAATCAAATGCTACAATAAAAGTTTTTAAAAAGCAGTCATGTCTACAGCTCTCTACGTAAATGTATAATGTTTGAATAACTCAATTCTTAGCCGCCTTGAACTGGAATTCTCGTCTTTTCTCAAGCTTTTATAATTAAAAGTGATATTGCAGAATACACAACAAAAAACATAATCTGTAATAATTGTATTCATTCTTCTTGAAACTCACTACTAAAAAAACTTTTCAAGGCTTATTTTCTAATTTAGTCGCAAGCATACGATGAAGTAGGCCTTAAAAACTTGAAAAAAATCTTGTAACGAGTTTAACAGATGTCCTACCGGTATCAAATGTATTCAATGTTAAGAAAAGCAACAGTGCATTGAAACTTGTTTTGCTATGGATTGCAAAAAAATCAACTATGAAATTCTGCTTGAAGAACAGAATATACAGACTGTACGGCTAACGAAACTATTACTTTTCCTAAACCACTTTTGTCTTTGAAATATTACAACACAATACACTAATTGGCCACATTCGACCTCGACGGCAGTCATTTCTTTGCACCCCAGTAATTTTATATTTATCTGCAGATAAAAATCAAGAAATAAATAAAAAGAAAAAAAAAAACTCAATGCTTTGATATTAAAGGCTTAGACGAAGAAACATTGAAGGCGTAACGAAAGCAGTTTATTTTGACAAATTCAAATCAGAAGTGACAGAGCAGAGAGATATTGAAATAAAACATGTAATGTTGAGAATTAACAAAACACAAACTTTCTATAGTTATTAATTTCTGTGTCATTTGGTCTCTTGTGGAGAGTTGTCTCATTGGTTATCATACCAGATCTTCTTATTTTTATATTTCTAAGGACACTTAAATTCAAAATGAGGCTTTCATCGTACAAAAAGACTTGTCCATGTCTAAAACACAGACTGCATCATGACGGAGAGCAAATACATAAATGCAACAGCATTGCAGTCCTTCCGTAAACAACTTCCGGTTTAAAGGACGGTTGCAAAAGTTGTATTTTTTTTAATATTAAAAATAAACTGATTTAAATATGTTGTTTCTGAATAGATTAAGACGCTGATCTACATCATGTTTCGGCAACGACCTGATGATTTGTTGATTAATGACATTGCAGACGCCGTAACACAATTGGCACGTGCCAGGATTGATTGACGTGAATACAGAATGTAAATGCACAATTAACTATGCTCTAAATATTTACCCTGTAATTAAAAGACAAAATAAGCTATTTATGCTTGTAATCTTCTCCTGTTGTTTTTGTTAAGCCTGAATAACTTAATCACAAGAAAAAAAAGAAGAAATCAGTTGAAAATTTGCACCTCACGGTGGGTTACACCATATCTGTCTCTGATGTTATACTTTTATATACAGAATATTAACCTCCATGCTTTCGGATACCAAAGGCATGACGTTCAATCTAGTTGGCTGTGTACTTTGTTCAGAATAAATGGATGTTTTATATCTATTCATATTGCAGACGAGAGCATGCACATGTGTATAAAAAGGGGGGTTAAGTTGCCATTTATCAACCCTTCTTTATATTAATTATACATGCTTGGAGGTCAACAGATTTAACAGAATTATAAATATATATAATGACTTATTAACATTTTTTTTCAAATACACTACAGTTTACTTTCTACATACCGGTAATCGTTTAACTTTATGAAGTGCAAGGTTGCATAGTAGCTGTTGTAATGTTAATTTCTTTTTTTTTCAGCGAGCCGCGAGGCAGCTTTTATGCATTCAATATTAGCAGCAGGAGTTGTTAGTGCTATAGCACGGTCGTGCCGTAATGGTGAACTAAGTTCGTGTCACTGTAGTAAAGCATTACGCCCTAAAGAACTAGTAAGGGACTGGATCTGGGGTGGGTGTGGTGATAATATACAATACGGGTATAAATTTGGAAGTTATTTTGTTGATCTTAGAGAAAAAGATAAAAATCACCCAAGACTTTCTCCTGAGTTGTCGAGAATGTTAATGAACCTCCATAACAACGAAGCAGGAAGGCGGGTAAGTGTATCATTAAAACATCACATAACGAGTGTTAATGGTTCCCTGTTAGTAATTGCTATCCACTTTATATCATAATTTTCTTACAGTTTGTTGTTGAAAAATCTTGTGCATACAAAATAATTTTCAGTAATCAAATCCTATAGGAATACATTGTGATGTAGGGTACACGTCAATCTGACAACAACCCAACGAAACAAAAAACTAAAGTACATCTTGAGGTCAACTTATAATCTTCAACCATTAACAGGTCTCATATAATAAGTCAAGCTCTAAATCGACACGAGTCTATAAATCTAGTAAATAAATTTAAAAGAGATGAATAAAAACCTGTCTGGGATGTTCTGCAGCATTGAAGTATAAAAAGGATATTTTGTAAGTTAAGAGCATTACACATGATTTGCAGGACTTCCAAAGACAGTTTTTCAGGAAACTCTTAAGAAATTCGGTATCTTTTTGTCCGAATCTGCTCAACGTCTAACATTTTATAACGCTACTTTCAATGGAATTCGATGTGTTTGGTCTCAGACTATGAATTGAATGAACCTCGTTTTAGCGAAGTTTTTCTTTTTATTAATGAAAATTTAAATCAGGAAGAATGATATAGTGAGTTTCCTTTGGAATGCTAATTTAAAGAGTATGTTGGCATCAACCAATGTTTTTGTAAAATTCAATACAAAATGTGCGGATCAAAAAAAATATTGTATTGTGAATCCGACAGTAGGGACTGCTTCGAATCAAAGTTGTTGTTGTTTTGCAAACGACAAGATTCCAGTAAACAACGTACGTATACTACATTGACAACTCTGTATGCGAGGTTTTACTTGTGCTATCAATAACTGACTGTTTTCTAAAGATATTTCAGATCTTTTTTGTAAATACTTTTTTTAACATTTGTAAAAAGGAGTGTTTTATCTGCACAAGTGAGAAATAAACATTGAGTGCTGGTTGTGTGGGCATTGCGTTTGTAAGAACTATGTCTATTTATTTCTACATTATTAGATTATCAGAAGTAAACATCACTTTTAATTATCATGAATTTCATCTTAAATCGGTCTTTTATTTCCGATTTAAATGATAATGTGCGTAAACTGCATTTTACCTACTTGTTACCTTTGAAATACAACGTTAGCGATGGAAAGATTGCTGAAATTTAAGTGTAAGAACCGAACAACATAATATTTTGGGTAATTTAACTTCTTAGTTTCCAACATGCTTTGAAAAAAAGGTTTCATTTATATTAACAAAAATATCCATAGCAATAAACACTTCCCATATCGTAAGCCATCGCATAATAAATTCTGCAATTCGCAAGAAATAAAAATGATATTTTTCTGTTAACCTTGGAACACCTGTATTATTGGTTTTACATGATAGACTAAATATATACAAGTAATAATATTTATGACAATATTATGTTCTTCAAAGAATGTCATTTATGACACTGAAATGTATCCATTTAATCGTTATAAGTAAAGCATGTCCATTGCAAAGCTTTTAGTTTCCAATAAACTATTATGAACCGCATTTTCTAGCTTCAAAGCGTAAACAGTGATTACATATAATTATATCAATCTGTACGATTTTATAACGGTAATTATTAAATTACATAGCATTTATGATGCAAATTTTTGCAGGTGTTACCGTAATTACCGTAAATTATAAGGTAAAAAATGCCGTTCGAATGAGGATGTGAAGAAATCACTTGAAAGTGGGAAAAACGCTCCTTATAATTTAATAGCCATATTAATAAATTAATATATAGGGCATACGTCTATGTGACAGCAACACATCGACAAAAAAAAAAAAAACAAATGACATCTAGAGGTCAACATATAATCTCAATATATGTGTTAATGAGAACTTGAATTATTTACATTGTACGAAAACTTAGCACCCCCCACATAAAAGTGAAAAAAAAAAAAAATAATGTTCATGGTCAATATTTCTAATCAGTCAACCATTTAAATGCTATGTTAGAGCTGGGACCTAATATAACATAAGTTTCAATGTTTGAGGCGATTTACGTGACCTACCTTTCCCAGGAACGCCCAGAGTCAACAAATACCATGGAAGTACCATTTAAAAAAAACCTTCCTGAACAGAATGTCGTACTTTTATGTTTAGATTATAATGAGTATTTCTAATTTTACAAAATGTTTCGGGTGTCTTCTGTTTATACATTTAGATGTTATTCAAAGTGAAAAATGTGTCTATGTAATTTAAATACATGTAAGTATGCTACCAACAAGTTTTAAATTCTTGATTCCTGAAAACATAAAAAAGGAATTGGTCATCATCAAAAACATTTGCCGTTTGATTACAGGATCTTGAAAGAAATTTCGGCATGTTCAGCAATATCTTTTATTGTCATACTACTAAGTCTAAGGTATAATAAGTAGAAAAGGTTACGACCATCATTATTCCAAGCAACATGTTCTGTGTTATAGCTTAAAGCGAGGCATCGTTTAGATTACATAAATAACGGTAGCGGCTCGCTAAAAATGTTGTTCTTCATCAAGCTCAAAGGAATATTTGGTGGGGAAGGATATGTTAAATGTGTGAAAACGTCAGTTAAATTAAAATCATGATCGGAGATATAACATAGACTTAAGTTTATTTGGCGTATAATTAGTTACAGTGTGCTGTAGAATACCCACTGAGACTTGGACTTAAACGTGAAATTATAAATGGGAATAACGCTTTTGGTTAAATGTGTTGTCAATTATTGATGACAAAAAAAATATGAAAAAATAGAGAACAACTGTAGGTACTGATTAATTTGGGTATTCAGAATTTGATTTCTCGGAAATTCTAGAATATCTATGTATTTGGAAAAATATCTGTTTAGAAGACCTTCTAAATCTAACGTAGCCAAACTAAGCTTGTTTTTTTTTAATCTCTCCAAGCTTATGAAAAGCCAGATTTTGGATAAACGACAATGAGTCAATAACCAAACAACACGAGTCAATCAAAACAAACATCTAGAGGTCTTCAACGATGGACACTTGTATCCATACCGTGTGGTCAGTTCTAAATCTAAAAAATAAAATACGAATAAACTCCACCTTAACTGCTTAATATTGCGTGCTTCGCCTGTGTCTTTTCTGATTTATTCTTTTATGGATATAAATTTCATTGAAAACTCGGAAGATTCTGATTTCTCTTTCATAATGACAGTGTTTACCTTCTGTGATCACCGTGATTTTGAAAAGCTTTAACATGGTTATTCAATTGAATTATCACGGAATAGGGGACTTTTACTAAAATGTTAAGGGGATTTGTCTCACAATCTGGTATATTTTATGTCTATTTTGGATTTTAGGCTTATCCAATCTGAAAAGGAACTTTAAATTTTATCTTATAGTATTGCTGTAGCAGTTCCTACACCAAAAGTAAGAGCTTGGAGTCTTTCTTTAATACAAAAGAGACAAAAGTCAATAAAATACAAAATATTTTTTTTTTATTAATTAGAAATAAAATGTGGAATGAGTGCCAATGAAATAACTCTCCATCCAAGTCACAATGTGTAAAAAGTTAACAATTATAGGTCAAAGTGCGGCCTTCAACACGGAGCCTTGGCTCACACCGAACAGCAAGCTATAAAGGGCTCCACAATGACTAGTGTAAAACAATTCAAACAGGAAAACCAACGGTCTAATCAATATAAAAAACGAGAAACGAGAAACAAATTCACATATTATGAGGAAAACGTAAGAAAACGTCACATGACCAGTAATACATCAGTCGTCGATTGTTATGCTATCTTGTAAATATCTTTACAATTTGAGTGACGAAAGCAAAAGTTTGATATTTTGTTAAACAAAACAGTTATAGATATTTGACGGTGTAATAGCACATTCACTGTAAGAAACTTCGTTATCTTTTAATCATTACTGACAGGCAGATTCTCATGTAATCAAAATAACACTTCAGCTGAAATCATGGGTAACGTAATATACATTCCCCATGCATTCTCCATCTACATGTCTATTAGCACTTGCATTTAGATCATACTTCAAAAACGCTATTGTTGAGTTAAAACTTTTGTTACAAACTTTTCAAAGAGGTTGTTTTTAATTTAGTTATCTTAAGTACAAGAATAGCGGACACTTCATGTGCGTACATTCCAGTTAAATTAGAATAAGAGTTGGCACGGAACAGTCACAATTTAAGGTTTATTACTGTCAAGATTTCAAACTGTTACTTTCAATATCAGTCTGGTATCTTTTGAACATCATTACGAGGGGTGAAAAAATACAATTATTTTATAACTTATTGACACACCACTTGTGCATGCATCCTGGAAATATATGATTTCGCTTCTTAGAAATAACACATTCTCTACAAGCATGACAAGGCCACAAGCTGTCAATTTTTGTAGGAAATCATATTGCCATACTTGATTTACATTTGTCATTTTGGGTCCTTTTATAGCTTGCTGTGCGATGTGGGTCTTGCTCATTACGAAGACTGTACGTGACCTATAGTTGGTATTTTCTACGTCATTTGGTCTCTGCTGGAGAGTTGTCTCATTGGCAATCCTACCACATTTTCTTATTTTTATATAGATCCATTTTTATAGTAAGTGATTGTATTAGTTTTTTGGTTCTTTTATTTTAGTTTAGCCATAACTTGTATTCTAATGCCTAGTTGTTCTTTGTATTTCATCTTAATGTGCTATGCCTTTTTATTCTGCGTTTCATCATTATATCATATAAAACTCATCATAGATACCAGGATTTAAATTTTGTACGACAGACGCGCGTTTACAAAACACTCATCCAAAACAGGCCAAATAAAGTACGAAGTTGAAAAGTATTGAGGACCAAAAATCCCGTTTTTGTATACCTTATTCAAAATGTTTTTCAGTATTTATGTAACATTTACATTTTACAGTTTGTGAACCGCTAAACGACCCATTTAGTATTTATTTCTTCGAGTCTTTGTTCATTTCTTGTATTTCAAACTTTCGACCTACAAGTTAGTTTTAAGTAATC